TGCTCTATTGAAATTTTATGCTATCCTCCAGTTCTAGTTATTCATACTCATTTTACACTGAAGAGGTAATTTGGCTTTGGCATTTAACTTAATACAATCATGTGCCACACAGCACCAGGGATACATTCTCAGAACTGCACTTTTAGGTGATTTGCAAATCTTATAGCATGTATTTCCACAAACCCAGGTGGTACGGTCTTCTGCACACCCAGTGTGTATGGTATAGCCTGTTGCTCCTAGATTGCAAACTTGTATAGCATGTTACTGTACTGAATACTGTAGGTAATTGTAACACAATGTAGATATTTATATATCTAAACATAGAAAAATACATTAAAAATATGGTATAATAATCTCATGAGACCATTGTCATATATGCAGTTCACCATAATGCCATTATGCAGCACATGACTGTATTTTGAGGAAATTAGAATGTTTCTTTGTTCTTACCTAGAAATGGAACCTCCCATTCCCTGGGACTTAAATATTCTTACATGCTGATTTCTGTCCTGTCATCTCATTAGGAACAAACTCATCAAAAATATATTTCAACCCTAGACAAAGCAAGTCTCTAAATGGTGGAAAGTCTCACCCTGTCCCCTAGACTGGAGAGCAGTAGCACAATCTCAGCTCACTGCAGCCTCCATCTCCCGGGTTCAAGCGGTTCAAGCAATTCTTGTGCCCCAGCCTCCCGAGTAGCTGGGATTACAGGTGACCACCACCTCGTGCTGCTAATTTTTTAAGTCATTATGAGTCATGAATAGCCCTTGTTATCACAGATCTTTTATTTATTTAAATTATTTTATCTTTTCCCTCTAGCATTTATGGATGACCGTATTTTTTTTCTGATTGGTTGCCCTTAATAAGGCAGAATTGCTCCTGTGTTCATATTTTGCTTTACACTGATTTTATAGTTTTTGTGATAAATGGCAATATATGAGATAATTCTGGCTGTTTTCAGATCATTGAAAGTTAAAATATTTAGTATTTCAATGGAAGGAACAGTCTTTTGATTTAATTTTGAAATTTAATTTTTTTATATAATGCAAATATAGTCTTTTTTTTGTCTTTTTTAAATTGCATTTTAGGTTTTGGGGTACATGTGAAGAACATGCAAGATAGTTGCATAGGTACACACATGGCAGTGTGATTTGCTGCCTTCCTCCTTTTCACCCATATCTGGCATTTCTCCCCATGCTATCTCTCCCCAACTCCCCCCGCAAATGCCAATATAGTCTACATGGCATCTCTTGTTTTCTTTGTTGAAAAATAGGATAGACAAAAATGTACTAAATAAAGAGTATCCTTTTTAATGTCTTACGTTTAAAGTAACAAGTTATAGGCCAGGCTCAGTGCTTCACACCTGTAATCCCAGCACTTTGTGAGATTAAGGGAAGAGGATTGTTTGAGGCCAGAAGTTTGAGACCAGCCTAGGAGATAGTAAGACCCCATCTATACAAAAAAAAAATTTTTTTAATTAGCCAGGCATGTTGGCTGTGTGCCTGTCTGTAGTTCCAGAAGGTAAGGTGGGAGGATCACTTGAGCTCAGGAGTTGGAGGCTACAGTGAGCTATGATTGTACCCCTGCACTCCAGCCTGGGTGACAGAACAAGACCATGTTTCCATGGATGGATGGATGGATGGATGGATGGATGGATGGATGGATGATGGGGTAGGTAGATCTGTCTAGATAGATATATAGGGTAGAAGGAGGAGACTTAAGTTTGCTTCTATTGTGAAGGGCAGTTAAGTTTTAATGAGAAATGCCATGAAAAAAACAGGATCATTTGCAGTGACCATTTTCTGTATTATATTTTAATATAATGCCTGCATTATATTTAATTTACATTATCTATTTAATATTTTATCATTTAAGTTATTATTTAAGCGTACTTAATTTTATAGAATATCTTTTAGATCTATCAAGCAACTTAGGTTATCAGTTCTAACAGAGGAAGAACCAAGGCCCAGATTAAATGATTTTCTTGAATCAGGGTTCCTAGTACAAAGATTCTGTACTAATAACTTTCTGGAGTGTTTCTGGTGATAGACTAAGGAAGTAGCTATTGTTAGCAAAGTTAAAGCTCTTTATGTCGAACCCACGTTTAATACGATTGCTGACGCTATGCAGTACCTTTACTACCGCTCTCACACCAAAGCCCTAAAGTAGCTAACGTGTTTTCTCATTTTACAAGTTACATATTCTCAATTTATCCATTTGTTCTTCATATGATATACTGTGTACCATTCTGGTTGTCCACCCTTGTATAGTCTCAGGATATATCCATTCCTACGTGGCACCCAGAAACTGGGTAATAATATGTTAGTTGCCAGCCCACAAGGATGGGATAAGCTAGAATTATACCTACAAGTTTGGAACCTGTATTTTAATTATCAGAAGATAAGATTTAAGATTTCCTCTTCTGGATACCTTCCTTCCCCTGGTTCCGTGATCCATTTCTTTTTAATCCTAAATAATACAGAAAATGGTCGTGTTTGCATTATGATCATCATACTATTTTTCATGGCATTTGTGATTAAAAATCACATGGCTAACATGACAGGCATTCCCATGTTAGCCCCAAAATACTGGATTTTTTTCATAGTCATAGTTTTAAGAAAGAAAATATATTTGTATTGATAAAATATGCTTAGCATAAAATTTACCATCTTAACCATTTTTGAGTGTATACTTCAGTACTGTTAAGTACTTGACATTGGTGTAAAGAATTCAGTCCTGCAAAACTGAAACTAAACCCATTAAACAACAGCTCCTCATCTCCACTCTTCCAGCCCCTGGCCACCCCCACTCTACTTTCTGTCTGTGAATTCAACTACTCTAGGTCCCTCGGGTAGATGGAATTAATAGTCATACTTAAAGTTAATTTTCCTAATAATATGGTATCTTTGGTAATATAAACTTAGCTTCTTTTTTTTTTTTTTGAGACGGAGTTTTGTCCTTTTCACCCAGGCTGGAGTGCAATGGCGTGATTTCGGCTCACCACAACCTCCGCCTCCTGGGTTCAGGCAATTCTCCTGCCTCAGCCTCCTGAGTAGCTGGGATTACAGGCACGCGCCACCATGCCCAGCTAATTTTTTGTATTTTTAGTAGAGACGGGGTTTCACCATGTTGACCAGAATGGTCTCGATCTCTTGACCTCGTGATCCACCCTCCTCGGCCTCCCAAAGAGCTGGGATTACAGGCTTGAGCCACCGCGCCTGGCCATAAACTTAGCTTCTAATAATAAAATATATAGTTGAAGTATATTTTATAGTTTTGATAAACTAAAGAAAAACAGAAGGCAGAGCTCCATAAGAGCCTTGTTTTTTCTCCTTCTAATGCTGATTCTGTAACTATATCTTCCTCTACATATAAGTTTACACCTTTTTTTTTTTCCAGAATTCACTCCATCCGTATAATCTCCACATATTAAACTAGAAGGTAGACCAGTGTTTGCATTCTGACCATCCTGTCTTTGAATTGAAATGGTGTCTTAATCTATACAACTAAGGATATCTCTCTGTTCAGGTTTAAGTATAGTTTTTCTTTCATTTCTCTCTTTTTTTTTTTTTTTGGCGATGGAGTCTCAGTCTGCCGCCAGGCTAGAATACAGAGGCACGATCTTGGCTCACTGCAACCTCTGCCTCCTTGCTTCAGGCAGTTCTCCTGCCTCAGCCTCCTGAGTAGCTGGGTCACCACACCCAGCTAATTTTTCTATTTTTTTAGTAGAGACAGGGTTTCACCATATTGGTCAGGATGGTCTCAATCTCTTGACCTCATGATCCGCCCGCCTCGGCCTCCCAAAGTTCTGGGATTACAGGCATGAGCCACAGCACCCAGCCTTCTCTTAATTTTTTAAGTTCACTTCATCGATTTAGGCCTACAGTAGCAGTGCAGTTTTAAATCTAAGGCTTTTTTGCCAGCTAGGCTGTTTGGGTACTAACATGGAGGTTTATATATATCTCTAGAGAAGGAATATTAAACTTTTAGATTTAGAATGCCAAGTACCAAAATAGAAATGAAGATTTGTTTGAGATATTAAAGATACCTTACTTGATAGGGAGTACTTAAAATCATTAAGAGTCAAATAGATTCTGCAAATACTCTGTTTTGATTTTGTAATAAAGCGTCTTTTGACTGGACCAATGAATTTTTTTCCTTCCCCTTCTGTATAAGGCTTAACATTACCATAATTTTTTGTGCATTATAATGTAACCATACTATACCTAAAATTGCTTGTGCCTCGAAAAGCTTAGTAATAACCTTGTTTATCAAAAGCTTAGTAATAACCTTGTTTATCAAGTATACATATACATATATTTGTGTATCTGTGTAAAATAACATTTACAATGATGGCTTATAAATACAGTATTTGAATATAATGAATATATACGTACATGGTGATTTGGCTTGTTTTGCTATTTTATGTATACTTATTTTGAGAGATGGGAGATTGTTTTGTAGAAAAGAATGGAATTTGAATGATCACTGAGTGAGCAGTATGAGAATTGTGTTTGACATACTTATGGTTTAAGCTATGCTTTCTTGTAACAGAATATGAAGTACTTTGACTTAGTGGGGGCCCTTAAAAAATAATTTTCGGCTGAGTACAATGGCTCATGCCTGTAATCCCAGAACCTTGGAAACCTGAGGCAGGATGATAGCCTGAGCTCAGGAGTTTGAGACCAGCCTGGGTAACATAGACAGACACTGTCTCTACAAAAAAATTAAAATAAATAGCCAGCATGCATCTGTAGTTCCAGCTACTTGGGAGGCTGAGGCAGGAGGATTACTTGGGCCCAGTAGGTCAAGACTGTAGTGAGCCATGATTGTGCCACTGCTTTTCAGCCTAGGCGACAGAGTGAGACCCTGGCTCAAAAAATTAATTAAATAATTTTCAAAGGGCTAGTTTAGTTCTGTTTATGAAAGAGAAATGTGTTCTGATGTCTTCAAAAATCTTACAGTTGTATGATTTTAATTAGAGTCTCTTCTTTCTACAGAAATAGGAAGGTTGTTGATTACTCTCAGTTTCAGGAATCTGATGATGCAGGTAAGTTTTGGGGTTTCAACAAATTTTCAGTTGACCCGTGGATTACTTTTATCATGCTTTTGGAATAAGTTTTACTTTTTTATTTTCAGAGTATTTACCGAAACTGTCATGATCTGCATCAACCAAAGCAAAAGTTGAACTTACATGGATTTTAACTTTTCCTTCATTGATAATAAACATAAAACAATTTTTTTCTTACCTAGTTTTGGAGTCCAAAGTTTAAATGTCCAGTAATTCTGATATAGTGTTCATTACTTAAAATACCTTTGGCTGGGCGCAGTGGCTTACGCCTGTAATCCAAGCACTTTGGGAGGCCGAGGAGGGCAGATCACTTGAGATCAGGAGTTCCAGACCAGCCTGACCAACATGGTGAAACCCATCTCTACTAAAAATACAAAAATTAGCCAGGTGTGGTGGTGTGCGCCTGTAATCCCAGTTACTCGGGAGGCTGAGGCAGGAGAATCACTTGAGCCCGGAAAAACAATCCACTACAGGGCAGGCGCAGTGGCTCACACCTGTGATCTCAGCACTTTGGGGGCAAAAAATTCGGCTATTATTACAATAAAACTTGTGCTTTCTGATGTGTTTTTACATAATAAAGCAACTAAGATGAGGGTCTGTTTTGTAAAACAATTTTGATTTGTGAACTAATCCATCATAGAATGAATGTTGTAGCTAATTCTTAGCCATAAGAGATTTTTTTAGAGTTGTCTCCTTAATCTCATTACTTTCCAGATATGTTTACTATTTTTTTCTTCCTTCTTTCTTTTTAATCTAACTTTTCTTTATAAAGACAATATCTGCCCTTTGGGAAGACTTAGAAAATGCTGAAAGATAAAAAGAAGAGTAAAAAAAGTAATATGTAGCGCTAATATTTATAAAATGCTTGCTACATATCAGGAATTGTTTCAAATGTTTGTATTTAATAATTCCTTAGAATCATTCGTCAATATGGGATGTACTATTATTATTTCTGTTTTGAGTATGTTTCTTATGCTGTTAAAAGGTATTTGAAAAAATTCCTATCAGTGGTCATATAATATCCCATAATGGAATTTATAATGTTTCTAACCATTTAATAACATCATGTGTGTGCGTGTGTGTGTGTGTGTGTGTGTGTGTGTGTATGTAAATGGTGCAGTAAACAGCTTTGGAAATAATTTCCTTTTACAATAGTCATTTTCGTTAGTTTTATAGGGCTTTTGAAATTGGAGATACTTTTTTCAAAGGCAAGAGTATGTCATATTTAATACTTTAAAAGTAATTTGCTTAGTAATAGTAATTGTGTTTACTTCCTAAAATGTTTGTAATATAATCATAATCTGATAATTTTCAAATAAGTGTGAAGATGTTGAAATCAAAAGGGGAGGGTATAAAATGATAGAAGTTTAGCTATAGATAGATGAAATATATATACATGAAGACTAGAGGGTAATATGGAAAAATGAAATTAATGTGGTAGGACTGGGTGGGAAATAATTGTAGTTTTTTTAAAAATGAAAGAGACTATTTGGGAAATCCTGCTCCTCTCACCATTTAAACAGCATGAGAGATAATTATGTCAGTAAATATACTGGTGATTTTAACATGTAAAAAACTTAATTAAATTTGAAAAACACTGTTTAGATGAAGATTATGGAAGAGATTCGGGCCCTCCCACTAAGAAAATTCGATCATCTCCCCGAGAAGCTAAAAATAAGAGGCGATCTGGAAAGAATTCACAGGAAGATAGGTAAGAGGCGTTGTTTTTCTGTTCCCACTTACATAGTCACCCCTCTTAGATGAGCGCAGTCTCTGATCTCTAAATTATTGAAATCTCATATATTTTTGAAAAGTACTTACTGTTCACTTAATATTTTGCATATTTCATATTATCTCAGGCTGTGCTTGAGGATGTAATTCATTAGTTATCTAAGGTTAATATTGATATTTTCATTGTAGTGATAACAAAGAATAAGTGATATATCCCATTTATAACCGAGTCTCCTTTGTTTAAGTAATTTAACCATTTTGGAGAGTTTCTTTTCCCTTAGTTTTACAAATGAGTTACGATTTTTAACTACAATTTTGTCTTATAAGACCAGGATATTAGCTGGACACCGTGGCTCATGCTTGTAATCCCAGGACTTTTGGAGGCCTAGGTAGGACGATTGCTTGAGCAGGAGTTTGAGACCAGCCTGGGCAACATAGGGAGACCATGTCTCTACACAAAAATTTAAAAATTGGCTGAGAATGGTGACACATGCCTGTAGTCCCAGCTACTCAGGAGCCCAAGGCAGGAGGATCCTTTGAGCCCAGGAATTCAATACTGCAGTGAGCTGTGATTGCACCACTGCACTACAGCCTAGGTGACAGAGCCAGGATTCTGTCTGGGGGAATGGAGGGAAGACCAGAATATTGTAATTTCTGCCCTGTTGTTAAAGGTGTACACATTGTCACACTTAGTGTAGCACAACTTTTAGACCTTCTTGGTAATAATGGTGATGATAGTAATGATGATGGCTACTGTTTATGATCATTATGTGACAATTTCTATTATGTGCTTTACATACACTGTCATTTAATGCTCACAACGTCTCTATTTGGATGCATAATATTAACTTAGAGGGGTTCTGTGATGTAACCAAAGTTATCCAGCAAATGGACAAACAGGTTTTTAAACCATATCTATTGGACTCCAAAGTTGACAACCTCTAATGCTTTTTTTACATTTTCAGAAATGTGCTTTTGAGGAAAAATAAGACAGAATTAAACTGTTGGGAAACAAGTCTTCTAGAGTTTCTGCTATGACCATATACTGGTATATGTCTAACCTAGTTATTGTTTGTTTTTAATAGAGATGGGCTCATGCCACATTGCCCAGTCTGGTCTCAAACTCCTGGGCTCAAGTGATCCTCCCATCTCAGTGTCCCAAAGTGCAGGGATTACAGGTGTGAGCCACCATGCCTGGCCTAAAACAGTTCTGATTTGTTTTGTTTTGTTTTGAGACAGAGTCTCACCCTGTCACCAGGCTCTGGAGTGCAATGGCACTCAGCTCGCTGCAACCTCCGCCTCCCAGGTTCAAGCAGTTCTCCCGCCTCAGCCCCCAAGTAGCTGGAACTATAGGTGCGTTCCACCACACCCAGCTAATTTTTGTATTTTTAGTAGAGACGGGGTTTCACTGTGTTGGCCAGGCTGATCTCAAACTCCTGGCCTCGTCATCCGCCCGCCTCAGCCTCCCAAAATGTGTGAGCCGCCACGCCCAGCCAAACAGTTTTGTATGGCAGCCCAGCTCAGAACTGTTTTTCATTATATCCATTTTCATTATCATATTTCTCCTAGGAAAAAGCTGCTTTGTGGCATGTTATAATGTCTCATTGCCATAATTAACATCTAGCTTACAGTTTTTCTTGTTGCAGTCATTTGATTTTATTATTCTAAATGTTGGAAGGATTGAAATAAATGCAGGTTTTATTGCTGTCTGTATGCCTTGTGTATTTATTCCCAGACTAGTGCTCTGTTGATTTTTCTGTTTTCAAAGTTCAGCTCTCACTTGACTTTGCTGTAGTGGTACTCAAAGATTAATGTAGTCTATAAACTCAATAAAAGAGCTAGAAAAAATAATATAATTCATCATTGTGTTAGAATTATGAATTTGGTGCTTATTTTGCATAAGAAACGTTTATACAGAATAGTCACAGGTTTCAGAATTATAACGTGTCTTGGACTCAGGTTGCTTAGTAAAAGAGTATGTTTGGTCATTCTCTTTGGTTAGATATCGTTAGTTCAGTAATATCTTATCTGAGTGTGGTCTAGATTATGGGGAATACTGAAAGTGATTTATCAGACCTGCTAGTTGAGAAAGGAAAACTTTGAATACAGTTTTTATGTGCAAGTTTTTGGTTTTTGTTCTTCAGAATTTTTCATTGAATCATAAAATTTTAGCACTGAAGAGAGAATACCAAGTGATTTGCTTAAGATCATACAGCTAACTAATGACAAAGAGATAGACTACTGGGGGCTCAGTATGGTGGCTCATGCCTGTAATCCCAGTACTTTGAGAGGCCAGGACGGGTGGATCTCTTGAGCTCAGGAGTTTGACACCAGCCTGGGCAACATGGTGAAACCCCATCTCTATTTTTTAAAATATGTAAACTAACAAAGAGAGATGGCATACTAGTATCCAGATTCCGGAGTTAAGACTTATGAGGACGTAGTATGAACTTTGAAACTCCTTAACATCTTATTCTACTTTGCGGAGTGATTTTGAGCTCACTTTTATTTTCTCCATGGTACCAGGCAGGACCATATGTTGATGTTTCTGATGCAGAGAAATATTGGGAGGAAATATTAATAGGGGATAATTAAATCAATTTATTTTCCATTTAGTTTTAGGTAAATGTTTAGGCATATTGTAAGTTATATAACTGAACTATAATTCCTTTTGTTTGAGACGGAGTCTCACTCTGTCAGTCAGGCTGGAGTGCAATGGTGCGATCTCAGCTCACTGCAACTTCCGCCTCCCAGGTTCAAGTGGTTCTCCTGCCTCAGCCTCCTGAATAGCTGGGATTACAAGCATGTGCCACCATGCCCGGCTTATATTTGTATTCTTTAAGTAGAGTTGGAGTCACCATGTTGACCAGGCTGGTCTCAAACTCCTGGCCTCAAGCAGTCTGCCCACCTCAGCCACCCAAAGTGCTGAGATTACAGGTTACAGGTGTGAGCCACTGTGCCCGGTCTGCAATTCCTTTTAATAATTTTAGATATTTTAGCAGTTTTTCGTATGTATATTTAGTGATCTTTATTTGCCGTCATTAACACTATATAATTTATTTTTAGCATTTTTATACTCTGCCTCTGTTCAAGAATATTTTTCTTATTAAATATTATTGTGAACCAAGCTGTATCCATAGGTGAAAAAATTCCAGCCTGTGGTGGGACACCTTCTTTTTTCCCTTTGGGTCTTTGGAAGCAATGTTTTGCCAAGTAGATAAAATTGTGCTTACTTACCAGCATCCCTGTAACATCAGGAAATAATGGAAGCAGTTTTACTCCTTGGCATTTGTTTGAACATTTTATCTAGAATAGGTATTTTTCAATTCTTCTCAAGTCAGAAATAAGAGATCTATGTTAATTTAGATTTTGAGCTAAGACTTTTAAACGTTTGCTCTTTTGCCTCCCTTTATAGTGAGGACTCAGAAGAAAAAGATGTGAAGACCAAGAAGGATGATTCTCACTCAGCAGGTAGTAAACTATTTTAAATGTAAGAGGTATAATTCTATTTATATATTATTTTATTAGACATTTTAATAAGTGATTTTCTATGCCAGGTACTGTTGCAAATCTGGAATTACAAAGATGTTTCCATCTTCAAAGAGCTCGTAATGATTCTCAGTCCTGGTGGCTTATTATAGTCATCTATGAATCTTTTTTAAAATGCATATTCTGGGTCCTGTCTCAAAATTTCTGATTAAATAGATCTAGGTGGGATGTTGGGGCTTGATTTTCTTTAAGTATCTCCACATTATTCTTATGCATGGTCAGTATTGGAAATGATTTACATAAACAAAAGACATCAACCCAAATTGAATAATGTGTAAATATAAAACTTGGGGGCTGGGCACATGGCTCATGCTTATAATCCAGCACTTTGGGAGGCTAAGGCAGGTGGATCACCTGAGGTCGGGAGTTCAATACCAGCCTGACAAACATTGAGAACCCCCATCTCTACTAAAAAAAGAAAAAAATACAAAAGTAGCAGAGCATGGTAATCCTAGCTACTCGGGAGGCTAAGGCAGGAGAATCGCTTGAACCTGATAGTTATAGGTTGCAGCGAACCGAGTTTGTGCCATTGCACTCCAGCCTGGGCAACAAGAGCAAAACTCCATCTCAAAAAAAAAAAAAAACACTCGGTAAAATAGGAACATAAAAAAAGAGAGTGGTGGACTCTAGATGGAAAAGCAAATGAAAGTTTTATTCCCACTCTTTTTAGCTGAGACATGGTCTTTTGAAACAGTGGCCATAGAGAAGCTTTTTTTTGTAAAAGTGTTAACTTAAATAATGTGAACTAATGAGGAGTCTCCATGGCCAAATGAAATGTTCAGTCCAATGATTGTACTTGTTGGTATTTATTTTTAAATTTAATTCTTCTAAGAATTGAGAGTTTTAATCCATATTACTTCCAGCCACGTTAGTTTTGACGTACATTTCCTTGCTGTTTCCCTGGATCTCCCTTTAAATGAGACTGCTGTTTAACTAATACAAAGGCGAGATGAAAAGTTCTGCTAAATTCACTCTGCTTAGCTGTTTCTACTTTCCCTCCTATTCAAGTATACTATCTGGCTGCCTAAGTTGAAAAGAAACTATATTAAGCTTTTGCCCTATCTAGTGATCCTGTGATAATACAGTATATGTTTTCACTCATTTGCCTTGTTAATCCTAATTTGAATCTCTTATACTTAACAGTTTATTGAGCACTTCTAAATAAATAACTCTGTACTAGGATTAAGCTAAGCATCTACCAAGTGGGTTTAGTTTTGGGTCTGCCCTGTCAACTTTATTCTGTTTGTCTCTAGATGACATTTTTGAAAGTGAAAGAGATGATTTGAACAATGACCATGCTAAGGTTCAGAGGACTTAGGAGTATTTTCAGCAGAAGTACCACTTAACAGAATAAGGGATTTTAAAACTTCAGGAAAAGGGCTATAGGTAGAGACTAATTCAAATATGGCTTAGTCTAGAGGGAGTAGGCTAGCATCCTACCCTTTAACCAAATTTATTCATACACTGTGTGTTAAAAAAATTTTTTTGACCGGGCATGGTGGCTTATGCCTGCAATCCCAGCACTTTGGGAGCTGAGACGGGTAGATCACACAGTCAGGAGCTCAAGACCATCCTGGCTAACATGGTGAAACCCCTTCTCTACTAAAAATACAAAAAATTAGCCGGGCATGGTGGCATGTGCCTGTAGTTCCAGCTACTCAGGAGGCTGAAGCAGGAGAATCGCTTGAACCCAGGAGGCAGAGGTTGCAGTAAGCCATGCTCATACCACTGCACTCCAGCCTGGCAAGAGAGAGAGACTCTGTCTCAAAAAAAAAAAAAAAAAAAAAGAAAATACAAATTTAGCTGGGCATGATGGTGCACGCCTGTAATCCTAGCTACTCGGAGGCTGAGGCAGGAGAATCATGAAGCCAGGAGGCAGAGGTTTCAGTGAGCTGAGATCGCGCCATTGCACTCCAGCCTGGGCAGCAAGAGCAAAACTCCATCTCAAAAAACAAAACAAAAAAAATCTGTGTTTTTAGACTGGGCACAGTGGCTCACACCTGTAATCTCAGCACTTTGGGAGGCCAAGGCAGGTGGATCACTTGAGGTCAAGGGTTCAAGACCATCCTGGCCAACATGGCAAAACCCTGTCTCTATCAAAAATACAAAAATTAGGCTGGGTGCGCTGGCTCATGCCTGTAATCCCAGCACATTGGGAGGCCAAGGCAGGTGGATCAGTTGAGGTCAAGGGTTCAAGACCATCCTGGCCAACATGGCAAAACCCTGTCTCTATCAAAAATTAGGCTGGGTGCGCTGGCTCATGCCTGTAATCCCAGCACTTTGGGAAGCCAAAGCAGGTGGATCACCTGAGGTCAGGAGTTTGAGACCAGACTGGCCAGCATGGCAAAACCCTTTCTCTACTGAAGATACAAAAAAGTAGCTGGGCATGGTGGTGGTTGCCTGTAATCTCAGTTACTCAGAAGGCTGGGGCAGGAGAATAGCTTGAATCTGGGAGGCAGAGGCTGCTGTGAGCCAAGATTGCGCTACTGCGCTCCAATCTGGGCAATAGTATGAGATTCTGTCTTAAAAAAACAAAAATAATTTTTTAAATTAATAGACTCTAAGAATATTTGAAAGTAAATTTTTTACAGGCTTGTCCAAACATCTTTCACTAACTGATCTAAATATGGTTTTTGTTTTTGTTTTTGTTTTGAGTTTTGCTCTTGTTGCCCAGGCTGGAGTGCAGTGGCATGATCTTGGCTCACTGCAACCACCACCTCCCAGGTTCAAGCAATTCTCCTGCCTCAGTCTCCCGAGTAGCTGAGATTACAGGCATGTGCCAGCATGCCTGGCTAATTTTTATATTTTTAGTAAAGATGAGGTTTCTCCATGTTGGTCAGGCTGGTCTCGAACTCCCGACCTCAGGTGATCTACCCACCTTGTCCTCCCAAAATACTGTGATTACAGGCATGAGCCACCACACCCAGCCCTAAATATACATTTGTAAAGATTTTCCTCAATCCCCTCTAAATTGAAATGGTCACAAGCCATTCATTGCAAGGGATAACAGTTTGACTTTATTTTAGGGTTTACATGTTTTATGTCTTACAGTAAAGATTGAGAGACATTCTTTCCCTCTCATACCATGTTAAGATATTTTTCTAACTTTAGCTTTCAAAAACAGTGAACATAGATTTGAATGTAATTGAGAATTTCAGAGCAAAGTAATGATGTAACTACAGTATAGGAAGCATGTGTTCACACTTTAATTCAGCTGGGCTACTGCTTAAAATTACACACCTATGTTACTTTATATGTTATAGTGGGTACATAGTCTTGTTCAGGTTCATTATTTGTGAATTTCGGTCCCCCTTTATACATTTTGTAGAATATTTTTTGAATTTTTATTTAAGTTCCAGAGCACGTGTGCAGGATATACAGGTTTGCTACATAGGTGAATGTGTGCCATTGCAATTTGCTGCGCCCATCAACCCAGCATCTAGGTGTTAAGCCCAGTATGCATTAGCTATTTTTCTTAATGCTGTCCCTCTCCATCTCCCCACCCTGCCCCCTCCCTCACCACAGGCCCGAATGTGTGTTGTTCCCCTTCCTGTGTCCATGTGTTTTCATTGTTCAGCTCCCATTTATAAGTGAGAACGTGCAGTGTTTGGCCTTTTGTCCCTGCGTTAGTTTGCTGAGGATAGTGACTTCCAGCTCCATCCATGTCCCTGAAAAGGACATAATCTCCTTTCCTTTTTTATGGCTGCATAGTATTCCATGGCATAGATGTACCACAATTTCTTTATCCAGTCTATCGTTAATGGGCATTTGGGTTGATTCCATCATTTTGTAGAAATGTTGAAGGATAGAATTTGCCCTTTTACAATGAAACAGAGCTGCATATTATAGCCTATATTGGCCACTCTATTGGCTTTTTTTTTTTTCAAGACAGAGTCTTTTTCGCCCAGGCTAGAGTGCAGTGGCACGATCTTGGCTCACTACAACTTCTGCCTCCCCAGTTCAAGCCATTCTTCTGCCTCAGCCTCCCAAGTAGCTGGGACTACAGGCGTACGCCACCACACCCAGCTAAATTTTTGCATTTTTGCTAACAGGTTTCACCATGTTAGCCAGAATGGTCTCAATCTCCTGACCTTGTGATCCGCCTTGCCTTGGCCTCCCAAAGTGCTGGGAATACAGGCGTGAGCCACCACACCTGGCCTAGTTATTTACATTTTCAGTCAATTATTAATCTTTTGCACTATCTAGTCAAATATAAAAGTCTTTAGTCATTGTATCATGATAATTCTGATATTGCAGAGGATAGTGAAGATGAAAAAGAAGATCATAAAAATGTACGCCAGCAACGGCAGGCAGCATCTAAAGCAGCTTCCAAACAGAGGGAGATGCTCATGGAAGATGTGGGCAGTGAGGAAGAGCAAGAAGAGGAAGATGAGGCACCTTTCCAGGAGAGTACGTGAAGTTGGTTTGTGTAGTTTGGTTGTTTGGTCGTGATTGTAGTTTCTGATCTTGGTTACTTTGGCGTTTTCTAGGATACTAAATGTTACAGCCAGTCCCTAAGATTGGGTAGATACTCCCTGTTGAAAGAGATGACTGTGTGGTGCCTGTAAATATTTTAAAAGGTTCAGAGATCTCTCACGATTGCCCACCATTTGTAATCTTTGCACACTAATGATGTTTGTGTTCAAACATTGAATGAACATTTGCTTAAGTAATAATCACATTAGGCGTTGTGATTGAGATTTGTATTTTGGCCTGGTGGGAGGAGGTTGTAGACCTCTTTTCACAGAAAAAAAAATGTCAGTCACAAAATTTAGATGTTTCACAGGTTATTCAGATTTGTTAATTCTATGTATTTTTGTTTCATGTTGGGTTTTCTTGTTTCACTTACTCATAATTGGACCAAAAAGGCCCTGTCAGTTCAGTTTTGTTTCCCTACTCTCAACCAGTACTACATGGAAGTGATGGAACTACCAAAAGTTATTTGACGGTTTCAGTTTTTATTCAGTTTAACTCCTGCTCTTCCTGTTTTCAACCTACTTTTCAAACACATCACTCATGTAGCTCTCTCGTGGCATGCAAAATCCATTTGACAAATGAAGCCAGTGATGACGCCAGTCAAACTGGTAGTACAGCTCCAAATAGAACCCAAGGGTGTTTGACTCCCAGATCCCATCCTGTAGTCATTCTTAGTACTGTCTTTTGTGCACTTGGAAGGATGCGTACATTGAGTTAGATGTTGAAATTCTTCTTTCTTCTCAGAAGATTCTGGCAGCGATGAAGATTTCCTGATGGAAGATGATGATGACAGTGACTATGGCAGTTCAAAAAAGAAAAACAAAAAAATGGTTAAGAAGTCCAAACCTGAGAGAAAAGAAAAGAAAATGCCTAAACCCAGGCTAAAGGCTACAGGTAAGTTCTGCAGAAGTGAAATTAAATGTACCGCTTTAAAAATTTTGATTACTTTCGATTCTTCATTAGGATTTGGCATTGGCCTGATGTTTAGCAGAAATACAAGAAATCTATTGTATTCTGGAGCTGAAAGCATCTCTTATTAATAAAGACACTAGCCTGTTTAAGACTCTGGTGGGCCTAGGCATGTTCTTCAATTATTGCCATACTTGAGCAAGATTTCAGAATGATCTATTTGTTTCAGGCATAGTGGCAGAAACACTGTATCATCATAGCTCTTACTGCTCTTTTTTCCTCACTGGTATCACAGTCTCAGCAGCCAGAAAAGACTTAATTGTGAAAATGCACAAATCTAGAGTAATATGTTTTTAAGTTCCATGCTTTGATCTCTACCCCATCCTCTGTGCTATCAGAATAAAACCACGCTTGATGACATGAGTTAATTTTTTTCTGAGCCCTAATGGTTTCTGCCAGATATTCTCCTAGTTGGAGTTAGTTTGTTAACTAAATCAGAAATTGATTTGCTTTTTGTGTGGATGGTTTTATTCTGTTAGGTACAGCGAGTCCTTGTTAAACTTTTGTTTATCACTTCTTACTGTTAGGAATGACGGAACTGTCAGATGTATTTGATGGCTTCAGTTTCTAATCAGATTAATTCTTATCCTTCCCACTTTTTGACAAACTTTTTATAAACAACTTTTATCATAAACAACTGCTTCACAAACAATGAAGGGTATTGTGCGTATTCTGTGTAGCATGGCGTTTCTTCATTACAGGTTATTACTGCTAACGTCGTATTAGAGTATTGGTAAAGACTGATGGGAAATACTGTAGCATATTGTGGTAACTTGTGACCAGTTTAGAAATTGAGATAAATTTACCTAGGGATATATGCGTACCCTTGTGCCCACCTTGGTTTTTAGTAAGTTGCATATTGTCTTTATAGATTTTATTCTTACAGATTCTTTTATTTTGTAGCTGATTTTTATTAAAGACATTTTTTTCTTCCCTTTCCCACATTATTTTTCTACTTTTAGTGACGCCAAGTCCAGTGAAAGGCAAAGGGAAAGTGGGTCGCCCCACAGCTTCAAAGGCATCAAAGGAAAAGACTCCTTCTCCCAAAGAAGAAGATGAGGAACCGGAAAGCCCGCCAGAAAAGAAAACATCTACAAGCCCCCCACCCGAGAAATCTGGGGATGAAGGGTCTGAAGATGAAGCCCCGTCTGGGGAGGATTAAAAGTGATGATGGTCTGGGGAGAGATTTTATTAAAAAAAAAAAAGAAAAAAAAAAGAAAAAAGAGGGAGGAAAAAAAGAACCTACTTAAGATAGAACATGGTTTTGGCTATGGCTTGACTCATGGGCTTTCAGTGCTTTTTTCCATTTGTTGAAAGTAACATTTCTCTCTCTTTTTTTTTTTTTTTTTTTTTAAAGCAAACCATTATATGTTTAAGTGTTTAAGTTACCTTTTTGTCTCTTGGTCTCTTTGCCAACCCTCCCCTTTCCCAATGAAAGCCATGTCAAATTAATCACTGGATTGACTGCTTCATCTGTTTATTTTTCATGAAAGGTGTACCACAGTTGTAAAGCAATAAGATTTGAGATGAACACTATGGAAAATTTGCTTTTTGATAAACGATAGCAAGTTGACTAGTAATCAAAAACACAGCAAGATTTTAGTTCAAAATGATTGCTCCTTTCTCTACCTGGACTTTTAAAAAATCAATTGTCATCTAATAAGAGTTTATTTGTCTGTAGACACAATTATCAATGTCTAAAAAATCATGTACTTTAAACTTCCACTAATGAGGCAGATGAGAGATAAATATGAATTCTGAACTGTTACTAAAAGTACTCATTTTTACCTGGTGGGGAGGGTGGGCAGCAGCACTCTGGCCTTATCTGAGGGTATGGGCTTTCTTTTTATTTCATCACTTGTGATCTCAGAAAGACTCGGAGCCAGTGATCCTGTTACCCTGCTACAGTCTTTAGGGAGTTGAAAAAAAAAAGCAGGGCTGCCAAAACTGAAATCACTCTTGATTTCACATTTCCTTCTCTAGATATATATGTATCCTGTTTTTTTGGATAAAATTTACCAAGGATCCAAAAAAAAAAAAAAAAACCCTAGAATTTAATTGACAAGATCAGTCTACACATCACAGTGGCTTTCTTCTCAAACTGACAATGTTTAGGTTTTAAGCAAATAAAATTCCAGTTAATGCGAAACTCAGTCACAAAGAGTTGAGATTTTTTTCCTTTATGAAATAGAATTAACGTTCTTTTATGCTATAAATGTGCTTTCAGGTCCCATGAACCATGTTCTGCTTTCATTTGGGGATAGAACATTTTCTTTTTCATATCCCGATCTTTCCATTTCTTCATAGAAACGTGGTATGAATGCATCCCTGTGATCCTGCTGCTTCGTAGGGCACCACTGCACACCCTACCCCCAGTGCCGACCACCTCTGCTATAGGATGCTATTTTTCTGGCCCTATTCTTCACTTACTTCCCACCCTGTCCTTGACTGGGAATGTGTTAAATGCTGCTCCCATACGATTCAGTTGGCTCTTGTCTTTTTACTTGGTTCAACCCCTGCTTTACTGCTCACGCTGCTTAAAGCAGGAGGGACTAGAGAAACCAGGCATTTTAGGAGGCTTGTGTGCAGTTGATAACAGACTTTTTACACGCCTTATAAAAGCAGTCAGGAGACAGATTCATAGGTTTGATCCTTCACATCTGATACCAGGTGCTTATGGGAGCAAAGTTTAAAGGGTCCTGGCATGCTAATAAATTGAAAAATTAGTGAAGTTTAACTTCTGCCTTTTTTTCCTGCCTTTGAATCTAGATTTGCTTCTTCAATATCCTACTTTGGGGTTTACTAGAAACATGTTTTGTCTGATTTTATTTAAAAACACCCAGTGGCAGAGTCATTTCACTATTGCACTGTGTGTTAAATAATAACAAGTTTTCAGTACATGGCCAATAATACAGGACTTGAACATAAAAGGCAATTGGATCATTCTCTTTCGTGATGGTTAAATTCAGTTGTGAACTTTGTACTGAGGATGTTAGAGATTATTTGCCTCAATGGGTTTGTTCAGGTATCCATGTGGTAAAAGACCTATTAGTGTTTCCACCATGCACTTCTATTTTTTAGGAATTTCTAATTTTAAGTCTTACATTCCTAGTAACATTTGGGCTTTCCTCAGGCTATGTTTCATGAAGAATGAGGGGAGGGCACGTTTAAAACTTCAGCCTCAATTGCTTGTGTAGCAGTCTCTTTAATATATGAATCTGCACTAACATATCTGTGATATATGCACATATTTTAGAGGTAATCGTGTCTTCTAGGTTACTTGTGTGCATTTGATTGGGCTTCTTGTTTAGAGTCCCTTTTAAAATTAATTCATTAGACTGAAAAATTATTCTATATTTCTAGTAGACTGGACAGAAGGATCTGTGTCCCCAAGTGAGACAGGCTCTGAATAACTTTTGTTTTCTCCACTTTTGTCTTATTATTTTTTTTAAGAGACGGGGGTTTCACCGTGTTGGTCAGGCTGGTCTCGAACCCCTGACGTTGTGATCCGCCCGCCTCGGCCTCCCAAAGTGCTGGGATTACAGGTGTGAGCCACCCCGCCCAGCCTTGTTTTCTCCACATTTTACTGATGATTTAAAACACTCTAGTCTTCCCCTCAAATCATGCATGCAAATAGGAGGACAGTGGTGGTGACTTAACTAGATACAGGTGCTCAATAGGCTTGATAGTGATGTCAGGATGTATTACAAGCTATAAGCCGATACTGACTGGCCATTGGCACCACCCTTGACTAACCTTCCTTCTTTTTTTCTAGTGTGCCTATGGTGAAATGGCAATAGCATTCACTGTCGCATTTTGCAGTGCTCAGGAAGTGGGATGTGAACTTTGAAGGTGCTTGTTTGTATTAGCTCTGCTAGGTTTACCTCTACAACGTAGATTTCGGCAGCTATGCTGACTGACATTACACTCTAGTTCTTAAGGATTTTTTTCCAGATTCCCCCGCTTCCCCAGCTAGATATACGGAGCATACTTACATCTTATTCAATCTGTCTGTAACCTACTGCTGCTTTTAGTCCTCCTCACCTCAGACCAGAATCAATGGAGTGGGCCCAGAGGATACATTTTAATTTCAGTAATGGTAGGTAGATTTGTCCTGCTTTCTAAAACATCTCCCCGCTTCATATCTCCACTCCACATTGATTCCATAAGGAGAAATTAATGGGTGTTTCCTCCTTTAGGGAGGTACTATAATGAGTGTGGACATCTTTTAATTTTGAGGAACAGAAGTTGATTTCCCTTGAAGGAGCTTACATATTGACTTTTTTTCACAGTGACTTGTTTGCCCCAGTTCAATCCCAATCCTCAGTTTAATACTTATTCTTGGTACTGGCTCAAATAGCATTTTCTTATGGATGGCAAATCAAGAGTAAAATTTGAAGGTATAATCCAGTAAGGTGTTTAACTCTTGTGAATATGGTCAGCTAGACTGAACTTGACTTTTGTTTTTATGGGTTTTTTAAAATCTGTGAACATTCAAATAAGTGGATTTTCGAGTACTGGTTGGGGAAGGGAGTTGTGCTTTTCTTTGAACTTGAGTTTACGAGATGCTTTGAGAGTATTAGGCAAAAGCAGAAAAGAAATATCAGGAGCAACAGGGAAGCTTTCTAAAAGATCCTGGTGGCCATCATTGCGGCTTTGAAGGATGAGTGCTGGTTTGAACCGTTCTTTGCCTGCATCATTGGTAGCTGCACTGAAAAAAACCTTTCACCTTAGGAATCTGAAAAGGAAGAAACCTGGGCTCTAGTCTTCATGGCTTTAAACTGAGGTACTTAAATGGAACAGAAGTAACATTTCCTTCCACAGGAGAGGGAAAGTGTGACAGGGTGGTTGCTCTTGAGGTTAGAAGATTGTGTTTCTCTGTGGATGAAGCTGGATTTACTTGAAAATGGAGAGTTGGTTTATTGTTTGAATATTAGGACATCAAGCTGTAGCCAAGTTTCAGTCGCAACCCATTTTCCCTTTGGGATGAATTCGATACAACATGATTCTTTTTGAATTCTGAATCCATAAATTACAATTTTTTTTTCTCAAATTCACAAAATTCACAGTGGTGCTGACTGTGTAATAACCACTATTGGGAAAAATCCCGTAAACCTGCCTGTTGCCATGCCAATGGAGTGACTGAACTGGTGACATCTGTTTGAGCATGCTTTGTGTGGCTGGTAGAATGCCACCATTGTGCATACACTTTGTACATCAGGGGTGAAGGGAGGGTTTTCTAGATTATTGGGGGAGGGTAAAATTGGGATTTTTTTGGTTTGTTCCTTTTTTGATGGGGTGTGGGGGTATAGTACTCAGCTTATGCCCTAAAATAACATGTATAAAAACCCCTGAAGTATTGTGTGGGTGTGTATGTGTGAGTGTGTGTTTGTATACGTCTGGCAATTAAAGCTTTGTCTTCTGGAACTTAGTGAATTCTTTTCTCTTTCTCCTCCAGAAGTATTTGTTACAAAGTCTGTAAATAAGAGCTCTACTTAGTTTGTTTACCACGAACATGTTGCAGCAAACCTTACACATCGAATTCCTACAAGGTTAAAGAAAGACTTTTAGACTTGCCAGGTTAAGCAACAGCCAAGTTCTCAGTAATTGTTTGCCTTGATTTACCTTTTAGACTTCATTTTGTCAACTCTAAAACTCCCAGTCTTCCTTGATTTTAGTCCTTAATCTTTTATGTTCTGAGCAGGAAGGGTAAAGACAGGAACCTGCCTCACTGTATTAACTAGTCCACGCGCCGAGACCAGGGCATCTCTTTCTTCATACTGCAGTGTTGCTAGATACATGATCATACAACAGAGGGTTGGGCATTCTTGCAATACCTTAACAGTGCTGAAATCTGCAGCATGGTACTAAGGAAGCTAAAGTTTGAATGTAACCACTTTATTTAAAAGGTTTTTTTTTCTTTAATTTAAATGAAATGGGGTTGAAGTGAACATGATTTTGTTGACCATGTTCGTGAATTATAGATGCAACATGCATTGGTAGAATCGTGTAATGGTCTTTTGTGATACTTAATTTTTACATATCCCAGTCTCTGTATGTATCTGCATAGACAAAGAAAAAACAAACTCCTGCTTTGCTTTTATTGAAGGGTTTCCAGGACTGCGTGTCTGCTCCTGAGCTCTGTTTTAAGTATGTGTATCCTTTGCTTGTATTTTGTATTAAAAAAAAATAAGAAAAAGAACCCTTTATTGTTGAGCATGTTGGCATTGTCCCCTTTATTTTTTTCTCTTTTTGGGACATATGAAGCAAGTTATTCTTTTTCTGTATCTTTTTTTCTTTTGTAAACTTTTTTTTTGTTTTGTTTAAAAATGGCTTTATAAAAGGGCTTTTATAACCCAGATGTGTGCTCTGTGTACTTCTTGTAATACTTGAAAGCAAACACACTAACTTACACAGCTTTGTTCACCAGCTCCTAGTCCAGCCTGACTGTAGGGGGCACTTATTTCCCTAATAATGTTATTTAGAAAGATCATCCCTGTTGTTGGTAAAAGATAAGCATGTCTTGGTTCAAAAGTCAATACCTTAGAGGATGGAATCAAGAGGCAGTGGACTGAACAGTTTCTGATTAATTAAGGGAGCACTGGACTCTGGGTATGTAAGGACTCTTAATTAGTATTTTTTCTCATGTTTACATCCAAGGTTGTGTAGTGTTGTGAAGCTCAAAGTTCAACAATCATATATAATTAATGTTTACATCCACAAAACACACTTGCATTCCATTTCAGATACCCATAATAACTAAACTGAATTTTGAATTAAAGATTATTCCTTAGGTGGAGAACATGGTACCAGATCCCTCTTTAGAACTGGGCTTAAATTTTTTTTTTAGTTTTCATTTTTTAATATTTTTTTGAGATAGAGTCTTGCTCTGTCACCCAGGCTGGAGTGCAGTGGTGTGATCTCAGCTCACTGCAACCTCCCCCTTCCACGTTTAAGCGATTCTCCTGCCTCAGCTTCCTGAGTAGCTGGGATTACAGATGTATGCCACTACGCCCAATTTTTTTTTTTTTTTTTTTCCTGAGACGGAGTCTTCGCTCTTTTGCCAGGTTGGAGTGCAGTGGACCGTCTCGGCTCGCTGCAACCTCCGCCTCCTGGGTTTAAGCAATTCTGCTTCAGCCTCCCAAGTAGCTGGGACTACAGGCGTGCATCACCACGCCCAGCTAATTTTTCTATTTAATAGAGAAGGGGTTTCACCTTGTTGGTCAGGATGGTCTCGATCTCTTGACCTCGTGATCCACCCGCGTTGGCCTTCCAAAAGGCTGGGATTACAGGCATGAACCACCGCACCCAGCCTAATTTTTGCATTTTTAGTAGAGACAGGGTTTCATTATGTTGGCCATGCTGGTCTTGAATTCCTAATCTCAGGTGATCTGCCCACCTCAGCCTCCCTAAGTGCTGGGATTATAGGCATGAGCCACTCCTCTCAGCCATTTTTTTCTTTTTTTAGAGATGAGGGTCTTACTATGTTGTCTGGGCTGGTCTCAAATTCCTGGGTTTAAGGGATCCTCCTGCCTCAGCTTCCCCCATAGCTCAGATTATGAGTAGCTGAGATTACAGGTGCAAGCACCCTGCCCACATACTTGTATTTCTTAACATAATGAGTTGTCGTCTCAGGTTAAAGTTGACTTTGGATAAACATTAGCCATCTACTTTTCCTCATAATCCTTAGGTATTTTATGGATGACATACAAAATTTTATATTTCAGGACAGTGCTGAAGAAATGCTGTCTGATTTAAAGGATTTCAAAAAACCGAGAAGTGGATAAACAGATGAAGAGCGGTAAAACACACTTGGGGCCGGGTGCAGGGGCTCAAGTGCTGTAATCCCAGCACTTTAGGAGGCCGAGGCGAGCGGATCATGAGTTTGAGAGCAGCCTGGCCAATACAGTGAAACCCTGTCTTTACTAAAAATACAAGAAATTAGCTGGGCATAGTGGTGGGCACCTGTAATCCCAGTTATTTAGGAGGCTGAGAGGCAGGAGAATCGGTTGAACCTGGGAGACAGAGGTCACAATGAGCCAAGATCGTGCTGCTGCACTCCAGATCGGGTGACAGTGCAAGACTCAGTTTAAAAAAAAACAACAACACTTGGAGCTACCTGGACCCCTATTCATGAACATTGGTATACAGTGTAGTACTGTATACCAATGTATACTACATTCGTGTAGTTGTGGAACACTAATTACCTCATTTAATTTTTCCAACTGTGAGATTAGCAAGTGTTTGTTCTTCCAATATTGTAAAAACTAGCCTGGCTCAGGTAGGATGAGGTTTGATGTGGTACCTGACATAGCTAGTATGCAGTACAAGGGTTTGAATCAGTTCTGCGTGCTTTAAGTTATCACAGTTGTTCGTTCTAAAGCCAGCTTCCTTTATCTGGTATAAATGGGTCCCTTGAGGCTTCTTCCTGGTATTCAGCTCTTGAGCCTTTTGCTGTTCCCTCACATCTCCCAGTAACAGTAATACTTGAACCAGTCCAATTATTTACATCAAAGATTTAATGGGAAAAATCGGAAACTTCAATGAGATATGAAGATTTCTCACTGAATACTTCATTCAGTTTGCTTGAAAATCCTGATGACCCCTAGATACCAAGCCTCAAATTATTTAAGAACTTTTATTTTCTGATTATGTCTCGATAGTGACTGTTGAAAATGTTCGTCATAGGGGGCCAAAGTGGCTCCTGCCGGAGGTCGTGGCGCTTGCGAAGGCGAGGTCATGAGTTCAAGGCTAACCTGAGCAACCTCATAAGCTCAAACTGATTGGCAAAAAAAAAAAAAGAAAAAAGAAAAAAAAAAATGTTCGTCATATTGACTATATAGCAGTTACGATCTGCCAGTAGAGGGCAGTGTTTGCCTTCCATAGATACTGGAATGCTTGCTCTCCACATCTCGTTTTTAGATACTGTCTGCTGGGCTCAGGGTCCACTGTATCAACACCTTGCCACCTACTTGGGTTATCGAAGTTCTGTAATCAGTGTACCCAGTTAACATCCTAGTGTATGTAGCAGCATTCTTTTCTGGATGTTAAATAGGAAATAGAATCTCTTGATTCATGCATATCTGTCCTCTTGTGTTCCCTCTTGACAGCTAAGACTATGTGGATAACATCCCAAAATAAAAGCGTAGACTGAAATTTCAAAATGCAGCTGGGAACTCTTTGCCCTATTTTGAAACAGGTGTTGTCTTTTGAAATTGCCTTCCAGCTCAAAAACCTTGTTTCTTGTGCAAGCAGCACTGATATGTGTTCACATACAACAAATATTTAGATTTGTTTTCAAGGTAATGTGGTACTTTGTGTTCCTTTATTTTGATGGCATGCTTCTCTTTTCCTCCATTATCTGAATAGAATAGATAGGTGCTCATTTTGACACGCTTTGGCTGGGTCCCCACCAGGAGAAATCAGTATTATTCATGGGTGTGCCCCCTGGTTCAGTACTAAAGCCCTGCACAAATAATGTGAAATAAATGCTGTGTTAATTCTGGGGTCCGGGAGTGAGAGGGTACAGCCAGACTGTCCATCCTAATAAAGCAAATAATTACTTTAAAATAGGGTAACAAAATGTTGGAAATAACTGTTTGCCTTGATTTAGCTCTAAGCTGGCACCCAGAAGGGATTTGTTTAAAAATCTAACTTTGAGGCACAGGTTAATCAAGGAAGAGTACACATATATATTATTACAGGTAATGTTTTCGCTATTAAGTTGAATACACACACAAACCCTTTTATTAGAATGTGTGAGACCGCCTCCTTTGCTGATGTACAGTGCAATGTGTCTAATAGTTACACTTTTTCCATCTTGGGTAGAAACACAAATACATAGTCTGTATGTAGTCAGGGCTGTCTGGATTAAGAGATTTGGGTAAAGTAAGGCTCTGAAGGAGGTAGAAAGTCATTGATCCAAGAAAAACGGTGGCTTAGATTTTAGGATATGATAACTACCAATTTGATAACCCTCGCTGATTGGTTATCTGGTAAGAAGTGCCTCATCCATAATGAACTGAATATATGTAGTAATATAATTAACAAAAAATAAGGTGTGGTGGCTCACACCTGTAATCCCAATGCTTTTCAGAAGCTGAGGCAGGAGGATCACTTGAGGCCGGGAGTTCAGATCAGCCTGGAAAACAGTGAAATCCTGTTTTTACAAAAACAAAACAAACAAGTTAACTGGGTATAGTGGCATACACCTGTAGTCCCAACTATGGGAAGGCTCAGGGGAAAGGATCACCTGAGCCCAGGAGTTCAAGGCTGCAGTGAGCAATGATCGCACCACTACACTCCAGCCTGGGTGAGAGATAGAGACCTTGTCTCTTAAAAGATAAAAGATAATAATTAACAAAAAGTGGATTGTGAAACACTGGTGTTTACCAAAAAGTGTGTACACAGTGACCCACACTGAATCCTCATCTTGTGGCTATAAATTGGGTCTCTTGTAGTTCACTAATTCAGCCTAGTGGAATACAAATACTAAACACTTAAAAAATATCATTTCACTTCTCAGGTAGTTAGAAATAATGATATAGCAAAGCTCTTTTATAAGACATTAAATGTCTTTAGGAATCAAAGACTCAATGGATGCTCTGTTTAGACCTTGGAACATAATCTGGGGCTGCAGTAACCTGACTTCATATCTAATGCATGCCACATCTCAGTTACAAACTCCACGCTCTCCCCGTTTTGTCTTTTCCTCCTGCCTCTGACCTAATTTACCACTATCTCTTTTCCTTCTTGTGGTGTGTGTGTGTGTGTGTGTGTGTGTGCGCGCGCGTACGCATGCATTTATGTGTATGAACAGTTAGTTTCCATGGGGTTAGTGTTTTTGAGGCAAAAATATTGTTTATACATGAATCAGGTAGCCCTAGAGGTAGATGGGGAACCAGCTGTTTAGTAGAGAGCCACATGGTTGGCCGGAGTACAAGATAAATAACATTTCCTAGTAAACCTGAAACAAAGCAGAGCTTGGATTCCAAAGCTCTATTGTAGGGAATACTGGTGTGACTTGAAGTACACAGGATATACACAATATCTAGTTCGAAAGAGTGGTTGTGGTGCCAGACCTTATGCAATGGACCAGTCTTGGGCCATTGGCAAAGCAGATCAGTCCTTTTATCACCTTGCTTTCCCTCATTCTCTTGGCACACACTTAAGGGAAGCAGTAAGACCTCTAATATTTGGCTCATGGGCTACTGTTCTCTAGAGGTCAACACCTTTGCACAGTCACTGAGAAGCAGATGGCTCTCTCTCTGGGAGAGTTACATCTAAGTAAGGACACACTAATAATGCCAGACAGTGGAAACAGGAGTTCTTAGAGCACACGTTGCTCCTCCAGGTCACC